TCCTGATTGGTGGATCCTTGTCTTTATCCGGAATGACTTGACAGTCACTGGTTTATACTAATCCGCAGCCTTTGATAATGGTCGATTTTCTTTTAATAACATACGTAATGTCAGATAAATTTTAATGCAAAGAGTATTTATTTAAGGGCAACACCTTGGAATCTTCCCTCCAAATGGATTTTGCCGGGAAAATAACCAATTTTCTCTTACTCACGAATCTTATATCCATCCCTCTCTGCACTTGAATTCGATCTTAAATTAAATTTATAAAGGTTGATTTAGTTTAAAATAACTGGCCAGTCTTTATAACCATCGAGCACCTTCTTAAGATGTATAAACATCAGGTACGCCCCAGAAAATTTGTTTAAGGGGTTTAATTGTTTTTTAAGGTTTTTACTAAAAGCCGTGGAAGGCAAAAATAAACACTTGCGAGATTTTCAAACCCATGGAGTGCACCTTTCATGATCACCTGTTAATAAATATATATTTTCACTTGTTTGGTGGGCCTTAGCCTAAGACGACTGGATTTTAGAAAGCCAGATAGCCCCAGGTCTTGGAAAATGTCTGTTTTGCGCACAGGCCCTGAGAGACTGTTTCATGTGAGTTGGGGTATATTTTTGTGCATGTGGGTTACAAAGATAAACATATACACCCAACCGATCTTATCTCTGTCATAACTTCCTACTTAAGCTGCCTGTCACCGCCTTGTCTTTGTCCTTATTTTGGACGGCAGTTTTTTCATTTGTTTCTCTAACCTGGATTTCAAAGCGATAAAAAACGTCTACCATTGCGGTTTACTATATATTTCGTTCGACTGTGAAGATCCGGTTTTTGTCAACACCAGAGATTTTGTTTGCCTTGTGGTGTTCATATACAGTATGTAAACTATTTCCACAAATGAAATAAAGACTCCATTTTCATGGACATCATCGGTCTAAATGGATCGACCCAACTATGCGGGACTCTCACTAATACCCCATTCCCACAGATTTTAGATCGATCTTTCCCCGTGGGGAGTCTAACTAGATTACTGTCAGCTTAGCCAGCTTAAATGTCTGTCCCGCCCACTACAAGCTGTAAGGGGGTAATTGACTACCGTGCGCGCTCGGCTGACATCAATTTAGCGTGAACCCCCAGGGAGTTAGATCGATCTAGTTTGGATCAATCTAATCTCTGGGAATGGGGTCCAAGGGCGTATTCCCAAACATTTAGATCGATCTATCCCCGTGGGGAGTCTCACTAGATTGCTGTCAGATAATCCGGCTTAAATGTCCGTCCCGCCTACATGTACTACAAGCTGTATGGGTTTAGTTAACTTTCGTGCCCGCTCGGCTGACAGCTATTTAGCGTGAACCCCCAGGGAGTTAGGTCGATCTAGTTTGGATCGATCTAATCTCTTGGAATGGGGTCTAAGAACAATCAGCTACGCTGAATGACACTCCTCCTCTTGTTTCATATGTACTCGAATAATCACCAGCATTTCTGTATTCTACTTAACGCCGAGAGGGGGCATGTTAATCTGTTAAGCTAATTTCAGGCAATGTGAGTCCCCGCAGAATTGCTTTGTAGACCGATGGTGACTATGGCCACATACAGAACAGTGGACTAATTTGTCCAAGGGTAAAAAATGGCCGACCCACTTGAATACTTCCCCACGGGATATCTATTCAGCGTCTATTAGCGGATTAGACGGCAAGCTTTGTAGTGGGTCGCCATATTTGACAAGTTAGCCCCCTATTCTATGGAAATGGGGGCTGAGAAGCTCATCCTATCTCGTTTGAGATGTTTTATCAAGTGTGCAAGTGCAACAAAACAGACAGATGTGCACCCTTATTTTCAACTTTGTGAAAAACACAGGGCCTACAGAAAGAATTTGTTGAATAATTCCAATAATAGCATATATTAAAAATGGGAGACTAAGTGTAGAAAATATTGTTCCGTTTGTTTAGGTTTGTTTTCTCTCCAACTGTTGGGGTGGCAAAGGGGCCAGAGTTAGTCCGCCTGTTGATTTGAAGATTATCACGCGTATACAAGTACATGCTGTATATAGAATTACAGAAGATGGCGACAGCGCAAAAATTGTGTCGAGTGGACAACAGCCCGGCAGCCATGACACATAACAATCTGTGATTACGGTATACCCGAGCAAAAAAATATTCAACAAAATGAAATTCAGGCCNTCTAGAATTTCTGACCAGTCATTATAACCAGCGAACATCTTCTTAAGCTCCCACAGAAGTATCAACATCAGGTACGCTCCAGAAAAATTGTTTAAGGGGTTTAATCGATTTTAAGGTTTATGTAAGGTTTTTACGAAAAACCGTGGAAGGCAAAAATAAACACTTGCGAGATTTTCAAACCCATCGAGTGCACCTTTCATGATCACCTATTAATAAATATATAATTTCACTTGTTTGATGGGCCTTAGCCTAAGATGACTGAATTTGAGAAAGCCAGGTAGCCCCAGGTCTTGGAAAATGTCTGTTTTGCGCACAGGCCCTGAGAGACTGTTTCATGTGAGTTGGGGTATATTTTTGTACATGTGGGTTACAAAGATAAACATACACCCAACCGATCTTATCTCTGTCATTACGTCCTACTTAGGCTGCCTGTCACCGCCTTGTCTTTGACCTTATTTTGGACGGCATTTTTTCCATTGAATTGTTTCTCTAACCTGGGTTTTAAAGCGTTTGGGTTTGCAGTCAGCCGAGCGTGCACGGAAGTTAATTATCCCCTTACAGCTTTTAGTAGGCGGGACAGACATTTAAGCCGGCTTAGCTGACAGTAATCTAGTGAGACTCACCACGGGGATAGATCGATCTAAAAACTGTGGGAATGCAGACAAAGACTCCATCTATGGATCGACCCAACTATGCGGGACTCTCGCTGAGAACAATCAGCTACACTGAATGACATGCCTCCTCTTGTTTCAAATGTATTCGAATAATAGCCAGCTTTTCTGTATTCTACAAATGTACTTAACGCCGAGAGGGGGCGTGTTAATCTGTTAAGCTGATTTCAGGCAATGTGAGTCACGGCAGAGTTGGTTCATAGACCGATGGTGACTATAGCCGCATTCAGAATAGGGGACTAACTAGTCCGAGGGTCAAATATGGCCGACCCACTTGAATACTTCCCCAAGGGATATCTATTCAGCGTCTATTAGCGGATTAGACGGCAAGCTTTCTAGTGGGTCGCCATATTTGACCCTTTGACAAGTAAGTCCCCAATTCTATGGAAATGGGCCTAAGAAGCTCATCCTATCACATTTGAGATGTTTTATCAAGTGTGCAAGTGCAACAAAACAGACAGATGTGCACCCTTACTTTCAACTTTGTGAAAAACACAGGGCCTGCAGAAAGCATTTGTTTAATAATTCCAATAATATCATATATTAAAAATGGGAGACTAAGTGTAGAAAATATTGTTCCGTTTGTTTAGGTTTGTTTTTTCTCCAATTGTTGGGGTGACAAAGGGGTCAGAGTTAGTCCGCCTGTTGATTTGAAGATTATCACACGTATACAAGTACATGTTGTATATAGAATTACAGGAGATGGCGACAGTGCAAAAATTGTCGAGTTGACAACAGCCCGGCAGCCATGACACATAACAATCTGTGATTACAGTATACCCGAGCAAAAAAATATTCAACAAAATGAAATTGTAACATTCTTTTCTTTCACAATAATGAACCCGTTAAAAGGCAGCAACACAGAAACCTACAGACCATTTAAAACCTTTACAATCACAGCAAGAATTTCATTTACGATATTTTTTACGTACACATCTTGGTTCATTTAACAAAATAAGTGCCACATGTTCTGATAATTCTTTCTTGAGATCCTGCCATTCTTATAAAATTTATTTTGAAAAAGATGAAAGATGTCATGTCATTGGACATTCAAATCAATTAAAAGCAAACACAATGTATCACTTGAATCTTTACCCCTTTATGCAAATTCATCAAGGCCTTTCGCCATATAAAACTGTCATTTGAATTTACTTTCGTCAATTACATCAACGTTATCCCGATAAATGTTGTTGTTTTTGTTGTTGTTTTTATTATTATTATTATCCCTTTTTTCTTTTCTGTTTATATAAGCACAAATCGATATTGGTCAATGGAAACTTTCAATCTCGTCTCGCGAGAAATCTCGCAAATGTCAGAAGTCCCGGATGTGAGACAATTCCAGTCCTGCCTTGTCGCCACTGTTTTCACTGGTTCATCTCACTCAACTTCAATTTACCGGAATCCAGGAGGATTTTCTTGGCACTTTTCAGGAGTTCTGCTTTGGATACCTGAAGGAAGAGAATTATCGATACTCTGACACATGTAAGACGTACACAATAACATAATAACAGTTCACGTGAACAGATCCATTGCCCCTTTGTTCTTTACGAAAAAACCATCCAAGATCACAAATACCATATATATATATATATATATATATATATATATATATATATATATATATATATATATAAGTGGAAAATGGGCGTTAGGCAAGCAAAATGACGGGTAAATAATCATATTTTTTATTTATGCATTAATAAGGTGAGAAAAAAACTCTTGACGAGTTGTACACACAAACACGCACACTTTTTTTAAATAACTAAAACTCACAGCCTCTTTTAAACATCATTCTCTGGCCTCACCTTCTGCCTGATCCCCACCCTGGGGAACGTCTCCATGACGACATAGTGCTCCGGCCACATGTAATCCAACAGCTGAAATGGGGAAATAGCAGAGTGTTATATCCATATCATTACGAAAGCCCGAAAACAAACCATATATAGATTAAATGACGTCTAATGGCGACCCTTAATTGCCTCTCATAGGACCCTATTCTTCGATTTTTTTAATAGGTCAATTGACATCTTTCGTAAAAAGACCACCACTACTAAGTTTCAGAACTGCTCTCTTCATTACAATGTAGTAGTAACAGAAAACAGTGCACTGCATACTGTAAGTGTACCTAACACGATGGACATTCACCTACCTCCCTCTCACAGTGAGCTCGTAGTTCGTCCTCTGTGATATCTTGGTTTTTGGCGGGTCTGGGAAAAAACAGAGCAACACAGTTAATTTCCTACATACACACGAACACTACCATACATACACGTCAGCGTACAGTCGTACACTGTACATAGATCCCATAAGTATTATATAAGTAAAATAAAGGTAACTCACATGACACATAAGATGATTGTATCGCAGTCTACCACCCCTGGCTCCTTAAAACCAACAGCCTGGAATACGAAATATGAAGTGGGTTTCTGTTAGAATGTGTCATCTTTCTCTCTCTCTCTCTCTCTCTCTCTCTCTCTCTCACACACACACACACACACACACACACACACACATGCACACACAAAAATAAAAAAAATGCACACATGCATTCACACTAACTCTCTCTCTCACCTGTGTCTGGCTAACTTTGGGATATTTCTCTGCCGCAGCTTCTATAGCAGCAGGATAAACCTTGTCACCCCAGCGGTTAAAATGAAGTACATTGGCTTTTCTGCCACTGAAGTATGTAAACCCGTACTCGTCCATAGACCCAATGTCCCTAAATGTAGATCATTTTTACACTTCAGATAATGTGAGGTACAATATTAATACATTGCGGTATAAACATAATGTTTTCCTAAGGCGTTCAACTTTTTATTTTACGTGGCGCGAATAAAAAGGATGAAAAAGTCATTCAATATTTTCAAAACTTACACTCTTCTAATTCACAGCTGCAACTATCACAACCATCCAGTGTGTTGTCACAACTATCACACTCACCCAGTGTGCTGTCACAACTACCACACTCACCTAGTGTGTTGTCACAACTACCACATTATCCCAGTGTGTTGTCACAACTATCACACTCACCTAGTGTGTTGTCACAACTATCACAATCATCCAGTGTGTTGTCACAACAATCACGATCATCCAGTGTGTTGTCACAACAATCAAAATCATCCGATGTGTTGTCACAACTATCACATTTTCCTTCCATGCGGTCAAATTTTACATACCCTGTGTAGTACCAACCAGACGGGGACATCACTTTCCTGTACAAGTCTTCACAACCGTAATATGTACTGAACATCGAAAATCCCCTTACGCATATTTCCCCTTCCACGCCAATTGGCACGATCTTGTTGTTTTTGTCAACAATTTTCACCTGAAATAAAATAATAGAATATTAACAGATGTAGAATAACGTAACACAAGAGAATATAAATTATTCAGTGTATGATTAATGTGAAAAAATGATTCCGAGTGAATTTTACTGTACAATATGTCTGCTCAATATATATCAGCTACTTGTTTAATATTAACCTCGGTATGAGCCATTGGAAATCCTACGCTACGGTATCTGTGGTCGTCATTGTCATCCCTGGGGTAGGTTAAACTATTGTACCAGTATTCTATAGTGCCCAGCCCTACCTGAAAACGGATAGGTTAAACTATTGTACCAGTATTCTATAGTGCCCAGCCCTACCTGAAAACGGATAGGTTAAACTATTGTACCAGTCTCTATAGTGCTCAGCCCAACCTGAAAACGAATAGGTTAAACTAGTGTACCAGTATTCTATAGTGCCCAGCCCAACCTGAAAACGGATAGGTTAAACTAGTGTACCAGTATTCTATAGTGCTCAGCCCAACCTGAAAACGGATAGGTTAAACTAGTGTACCAGTATTCTATAGTGCCTAGCCCCATCTGAAAAAGGATAAGCTAAATTTCTGTTTCAGCATTCTAAAGTTTTGAGAAACTGATCATTGTCCTTCAAGTACAATACCGAAGAGATAAACTTACCCCAAATTCTGGGAATAGTTTCGAACAATCCTCCCGCAATTTCCTCGTTATGAGAGTTGACGTGAGGTTAACTGAAAGCGCAAAAACTCCTGTTAAATGCACTTACATAAAACATACCCATACATTTGGGTGTTTGTTTTGGACTATTGTGTTCAATAATTCACAATTTACAATATCTCGACCAAGACCCTATAAAAAGGACCAGAACTTTCTGGGTACAAGCATTATTTTCTATACCGTCTCTAAGTCGAGAACGTCTGTTCATGATTTCTTGTGTTCCATGCCAATCCTACACTTTGCTTTAACACCAAGGAAAATACTCGTCTGGTGATTTAATTTCAGACAAACGCACCTCGTTTCGCAGACGATATGTTATAGTTCTGCACAATGCCAGCGTCAAGTTCCATCGCCTTGATCATGTGTGTCGGATAGACCTCCAGATTGGTGATCCTTTAACAACAGTGTATAGGTACATTTTTATAGTGACAGGAAATATTTTTTAATTAAACCTTTTATAAGGTTCAACTATAATGGTATGAAAACAAACTTTGCAAACTTGGCATAAATATTTTTTTTAATTGTGACAGGTAATATTTTTTAAATAATGGAACCTTCAGTAAAGTTCAACTATAATGGCATGGACACAAGTTTTGAAAACCTGACATAAATAAAATTTAAAAAGACATGCTTTTACTTTGTATATGGCACTTTGCTATATAAATGATCATCTGAAATGTGTGAATTGCAACCTAAAGTTTCACAAATAGTACACTGCTGAGTCCGTTTCATGAAGTGATTGCTCGCTAAATTTCCTTGTTCTGGTCTCGCGCGCCCAATTTCTACCTTTCATGGCTAGGCCTCACGTTTTTGCGGGACTTGTATCTCGCTGTTTACATAAAAAGATGACTGCTTGAAGCAGAATGAGTTTCATGCGTTTGAGAGTGAACAACGGGATAATTCTGCGATGGTACTTAGTGAAGAGATAGCTGTGGGTTTGTAAAATTGGTCTGGCTTTACGTACGCTCTGTTGTAAACGGTGGGGTGTACTATAAAATGTACAAAAGTGTACTAGAGAGCTTTTTGTAACCGGTCCCAGTATTTTAAATCTGATAACCATTACTTAACTTTATGAAAAAAGCGCTTTAATCTTCAAAGAATAAATAAATACAAATAGTTGAAAGTACAGATAGGTGGAAGAAAGATAATGATCATGTTATATATATACACCTTGCACTATCAAACCTACTTGCACTCATGGATGCTCTTGAACAAATCCTCCATGTGATAGCCCTCATCTTCGTTCTCTCCCTGGAAATCTACGTCCCACAGTGTGGACGGTAATATGACCAGCTGGATGTCTTTCTCATACTCCACACTGACCCAGTAGACGTAATCTGCCGTCAACTCATCGTGGACGGGATTGCCCACTCCCAGTACCACCGGCTGGAGAAACACGGCACAAGTATTTTAAGGGATAACAACGGCTCGTATGAAATTCACATTTCACAATAAATACATGTAACCAACCCATAGAAATATAATAAATTCCATTTTACCACAAAAAGGCGGTTATCACAATTATTCTGGACACTGTGCTTGCCATCAGACCACGTGGACCTTCATAGATGGCGCTATCTCGGTAATAATCTCTTAAGAATTTATTTCAAAAAAGTAAACTTTAAAAAAAAAACATGGTCTAACTTTCAATGTCGGGATGGTTTCATTAATCATTAGTTAGAATGGGAAAATCATCCTTTGCCCTAGGAAAATCCTTTTTTTTAGGGGGTGGGGCAAAATCTCTAAACCACGCATGACACTTAGCCCACTAGTCTCAAACAATGAAAATGAAATTATTCTTATTTGAAATAAACAAATAAATAAATATGAAATTAACCTCGTTAAAATTCCCACTTCGCAGCATGGTAAACTTGGTAGTATTCACGGCCTTGAACTGACTGTTGATGGAACATTTTGGAACACCAGTACTACCCTATTAAACCAACGAAAAGTTTAAGGTAATAAATATTGTCTTTGATTTTATTCAAAGTCCTAACAGTGTTCTCTGAAATAATAAGTACCCGTTGTCATATCTTTTGATGCTATGAATGTCCGTTACAATCATCAGTGTTACAATCACGTACTCAATGAATACCAAGACGTCTTTTTCATTTAAGAATGTTTTAAGCTGGTGTTTAAATATTGGTACAGACAAAAACCAAGTACTTAAGCCAAATGTAAACTTTACAGCCAACAATTTGACCATTTTACATCTCTTAACTGGTGTAAGTGTGAAATCAAAGGTATCACTAACTTTTCAGTGATAATTGACGATAAGTTAATGTATTGCCAACAAACATCGCATGGATTAATGGCGTCTTTAAACAAACTTAATCCAACGACCAAAAAAAGTTGGAATATTGTTATTTAAAAACGTGCCTTCAGATAAAGAAGAGTTAAAAGGTGTCAATATACGAACTGAGGAAAGACCCGTGTTAATTGGATCATCCCCGCTGAATGCGTCTCGTGCTGCTCGTATTTCCTCATCTGATACCACTTCTCCAAGTTTGGTGACGTCTTCCAGAGACAGCCTAGAAATGCCACGCTTAGTACCATAATAGCTCAATAGGGGGTGTGATGTTATCAACGGTGTTGTCTGTTTGTTAGTGGACATAATACATGTGTGTCACAATTAACCTTCACAAATTTTGGGAAAATTGATGTAAATTTCAATACAGGCAGTAATTCAGAAGGGAATGAAGTGATGAAGTTTTCAACTGAATCCGGGTCTTCTACACCTCTACATTATAGAAAACCTTTGCAGTTTCAAGTTACGTTAGACGTTTGTTTCAAGTTATCTCTGAAGCTCAGGGCGGGTCTTGTAATATTCTTTAGGGATTTTTTTTTTATTCTTCCTATCAGTAATTTGCCGATGTTTCCCTTGGCGGAGGTCTGTGGTGCCCTCTAGTGGTGAATATATTTCTTCCCACCTCACTCCATAAAAGGCGGTGTGGGAGTCAGCAGAGATAAGATTGGCTTTTTGTGGTTAGAAATTATTTGTCACAATGTGTGCTGAAATAGGACGGAAGTTAAACAGCCAGTAACCCGATTAATGGGCTGAATGGCAGTGATATTACACATACTATATTTTAGGAGCGCCTGATATCAAAGGTCTATATATAGGTAAGGTCCCTTTTCCAACACCCACCCACCCACACCCACACACACACCCACGCACACACACACATCCCGTTCCTCAGTCTACCAGTGCAGTTATCTGAACTGAAAACAATCCAGAACAACACGACAACAACACTCACCCGTGTGCTGCACTGGACAGGTTTGGAATTACAACAGTCTTCAGGTGGGGTACCCTGGAATGAATGTGATAATATGTAATCATCAGACAGTATTATAGTCATCAGAACTTTAGTGGCCCGAGAGAAGTTAGAGTTGCTTATCCACAACACACCCGTGTTTAGGAAATCGTTTCTAGTTTACAAGTTAGTCCCTCCACTGGTGAATCCTCACTCATTTCTGGTCTTCCATGACGTCACATATTGCCTAAAG